AGTTTACTTCTTAGCATCCTTGTTGTGTGGGTTATAACTCCACCTACAAGGGATCTGGTACCCTGTTCTGTCCTCCGTGGTCACCTTCACCTTTGTAACATTCACTCACACAAACACACACACACAAACACAGAAACAAAACCAATACAAACAAATTTTAAAATAAATAAATAAATACCCCCCCAATAAAAAATGGATATAGTGATAATCTCTGCACTCAGGAGGGAGAAGATGAGGCAAGAGGATTTCTATGAATCTAAAGCTAGCCTGGGCTACATAATGAATGTCAGGCAACCAAGGGCTATACCAAAAGACCCTATCTCAAGTAAACAAACAAACAAACAAACAAACAAACACAATCCACTTACAATTTTGAAAAACAATGTAATCATTCACAGAACATTACAAAGAAGGGAGGCTAAAGGAACTGCAATTCACACCTCTCAAGATGTTGACATCTTCATAACTAGAGTACATCAAACCCAAAAGACCAATGTTGGCATAACCCCACTGAGCTTACTCAGATTTGGCCACTTTCACCCGCTACTCAGAAATATATTGTGCTAATGCATTTTGCTGTTGTTACTATAGAAGAAAAGGGCAGACCTTCCCAGAGAGGGTATCTCGGCTGGCAAAGATGTTGCTATTTCTTCACGAGTCACTACACATTGTTTCTTTTATAAAGTCTCTCCTTATACATCGTTCATATGTTTTTAATCACTTTTTAATATATGTAGTGTTCTGAAAGCTCTGAATAACTCCAACAAAATCATTTCCCACCCTTCCCCCCACAGGCATGAATGTCTAGAATGGGAACACAGGAAACACATGAAACATAATAGTGTCAGATAAGATTACAATGAGTGCTATGAGGAACATCCAATAGCCTGAGAAGTACAGTCAGAGAAGTTCTTTTAGTTCAGGCATTTAGAGGAAGACTTTCTGAAGAGGAGAAAAATGAACTGAGATTGTCCGTTGAGAAGGCAGACCCATGTGAAAATCTTCAGAAAAAATTCTGGAGTGTCATCATCTTGAGAATTATTGCTAATAAAACAAATCACAAGAAGGCCATGTGACTAGCATAAGAAACTTGGGTGTGCCTGTGGTTTAGATGTTACTTGTTAGTAAAACTTACGTTGAAATATAATTGCCCATAAACGTTATTGCAAGGTGGATAGGTACCTCAGAGGTTTCTGGATCATAGGGGCTTTATCACTAAGAAGGGATTAATGTAGCTGGGCGGTGGTGGCGCACGCCTTTAATCCCAGCACTTGGGAGGCAGAGGCAGGTGGATTTCTGAGTTTGAGAGTTAGAGGCTAGCCTGGTCTACAGAGTGAGTTCTAGGACAGCCAGGGCTACACAAAGAAACCCTGTCTCTAAAAACCAAAAAAAAAAAAAAAAAAAAAAAAAAGGGATTAATGTACTTCCCTACTCCACCATGACTTAGCAAGGCAGCCATGTCCTTCCCACAGCCAGTTTGCCCATTTTCCCTGGGTCAGTTGATGCATATGGGGCAGAAGCACTCTATAGAAGCCCCACAATTTTGGGTCACTTAGCTTCTAGAGCCATGAGCAAATTACCCAGTCTCAAGAACTCTGACACAACAATAGAAAATGAAATATGACAAGTACGGAGGAAGAACAGTAGATGGTTGAGGAGGTCCCTATAGCATAGGATAAGAAGCTTATATGGATTGTAGTCTAAGAAGTCACTAGAAGATTTCAGACACAGGAAACCCATGATTTGGTTGGTATTTAAAACATACAAACTCTCATGATCATAAGAAGAATGTTTTGGACAAAAGGAAGGATAACAAGATTGTCCATTAAGAGTCTATTGCACTGAGTAGTTTGATATTGGTGGGATTGGGGAGGAAATCAACAGAATTCTGATTTGTCTGTGGAATGCTGTCAACAGGATAGCTGCTAGGGAAGGTATGGGAGAGAAGACAAACCTTTTGCTTAAAACTAGAAGATGCTGTTTATCTAAGTAACATGAGATAACTACTGTTTGGCCTAAATGGTACATGTCTTGTTTAGACAGAGATGGAAAATGAACAATGGCATTTGTAAATTTGAGAGGAGGGTTGCTAATTGCCAATTAGAAGTTAATTCTGAAAATATGAACTTGGGAGTGATTGTTGTCTGAACTTAAGAGTCTGAATGAAATTAACATGAAAGATATTATGGTATGTTAATGTACAGATACAGCAGAGGAAAGGGGTACTCTGTGCAGATGAGAAATACCAGGAGAACAACACACTGTGTGCCATGGTGTGTGTGTGTGTGTGTGTGTGTGTGTGTGTGTGTGTAAAGGCCCTTGGGCTGATAGCTACTGAAGAGCCAAATAAGGAACAAGTTAAGCCAGGCACTGGATCGATATCTATGATACCAGCACTTGGGAAGCTGAGGTGGGATTGTCACAAGTTCATGGTCAGCCTGGGTTACAATACAAGACTCCCGTTTTTAAAAATAACAAGGCATACAGCATAAAAAGAAACATGTAGTTGGGCATGACATAGTGCAAACCTTTGATTCCAATACTCAGAGGTAGAGCAGGTGATATCTGTGCAGCCTGATCAACTTAGTTGTATGCCAGCCAAGGCTATACAGTGAGACCCCATATTCTACAAAAAAAGGCAGGAAGGAAGAAAAAATAGTTATTAAGAGGATGGATGAAAATATGGAATCTCAGCTAGATACAGAGAGAAGTAAGAGATGACTTGGTGGTACAGAAGGAGGTGCTGACGTTGGTGGATCAGCAGTGGGCTCTGCAGTGCACACTTAAGTCAGGTGCTGAGTCTTGGTAGGTACGCTGACATGTGGGGAAGTCAAGGAGCAAGCTGAAAATCAAGGGCTTCGAAGTAGTACAGCGAGTAGTAGGGATGAGATTAAGATGTGAGGCTAGAGGAATATTGTGGGAAAAGGTACCAGTGGGATGGAGAATGCCAAGGGTCAGAAAGGGCAGCAAAACTGTGCAAGGTGAACTGTGGAGCTACAGAAATTACCAAGATACCAAAAGCAGGGAGACAAAAGGAGCCATGTGTAATGTTCTAACGATTTGCCCAGCTGAGTATAATGTTTCTGTTTGAACTTCTATCTGTTTTGTTTGTTCGATAGTTTTTTTTT